TGGAAACCCTCTGCTGTCTTTATCTGTTCCCTCCCCTGCCCGCCTCCTTAAAATGAAAGAAATCCAAATAGAGAAACACCCACACATCCACCCACAGCAATTCGATAAAAATAGCGTCATCCCTGGAAAGTGAAGGCAACAAGTGACACGGATACCTTTCAGCTAAGCCAGGTGTGTCGGCTTCTGTGAATGCTGAGGGTTTAAGTGCACAGGAAACATCTCATCATTATGAGATTACTGGAGCAGCCCAGTAGGTATTCATTGTCAATGAGCTGTCACTGCTGAAAAGCTGAGCTAGGAGAGACAGAAAAACAAGAGACACAAACTCAGATCTGTGACCAGCTGCTTCCAGGTACATTCCTGAGTGCAGCTGCAGGAAGGTGAGCTTCAATCTTTTCTGCAAGGCAGGCAGGACAGCAGCCCTGTCAACAGTCCCTGGGATCAGCCTGCAGATTTGCAGCCCCTCTGTCTGAGCACCCTGAGACACAGGAGACAAGGTGAAGTAATCTTAACGCAGTGTCTCTGTTCAGAACTTGCTTCCAAAAATCCAAGCAGAAACAGAAGCAGCCTGTAGCTATGATATGTAGATGTACCTTCAAAGCTTTTTATGATTCACTCTGAAATGTTTCTAGTAATTACTTCTATTTTAAAAGCGTTAGTTAATTGCATTGTGTGTAGAATCTGCGCCGTAATTGTCCTTCAGACAGAGGGAGAGCACAGCCAGTAAAGATTGCTTATTAAAATTAAGCGCACTGTGGGCGTTTATTTCAAAGTCTAATTACTGAAATAAACAGTTGTGTTTATTGCAGGGTGCAGAGCTGCACATACAGACGGGTACAAACATGCCTGTACGAGAAGCTCTGCATGTTGATTCTATGTCAGTTGCCTGAGAGAATTTTCAGGATCCTCTATGTTGCATATAATGTACAGACTACTACAGATACAAAGATGGTGTTACCCTGAAGGCAAAACAACCCCTCTGAAATTGTTACTGCTAATCATTCAAACTTTATATGGAGAACCCCATTCCCTGGTAATTTCAGCTGTTACCACTTCTGAGTATCTGTGTTCGGAAGTGCAGAGCTCATGGGAGACTCCATCCACTGTAACCATGGAATGAGAAGAAACACACTGTTTGAAATTCATTTAAAAGCATATAAACTGTTTTCAAAGCACTATTTCCCCCCTTGCTTATGATCCAGCATAATTGTTGTAAACATCACAGAGCAGATTCCCTAGACTAAGAACAAGCAGGAAACATTTCTTCCCTTGTGGCATTTTTTCTCTTCTGAAAGGTATGACCCTGAGAAGAAGGAGAGTAAAATTGCCTCTTCTACCACAACTGCTGGAGTGCATATCATTGTGATTTCTTTATGCTGTGGTAATACCCAGAGATACCATCAGTGCTTGAGGCCCTTGTGTTGGGGGACACAAGAGTAAAGAGATGTCCTGTACAGATTACAGTCTTCTTTAACTTCTGCAAAACATAGCTTGTTAATGTGAAAATGACTTGCTAAGGAAATTGCTCCATTCGGAATCTCAGTGTTTATTGTTCTGTGCATTCTGCAGATCGTGTTCAAGTGGGTTGCCGGGAACTGAGATCCACCAAGTACATTTCAGATGGTCAATGCACCAGCATCAATCCCCTGAAGGAGCTGGTGTGTGCTGGTGAATGCCTCCCTTTGCCACTGCTCCCCAACTGGATTGGAGGAGGTTACGGAACCAAGTACTGGAGCAGGCGGAGCTCGCAAGAGTGGAGATGTGTCAACGACAAAACTCGCACTCAGAGGATCCAACTTCAGTGCCAGGATGGAAGTATAAGAACCTACAAAATTACTGTGGTCACAGCCTGCAAGTGCAAGCGATACACCAGGCAGCACAATGAGTCCAGCCACAACTTCGAGGGAACCTCTCAAGCAAAACCAATCCAGCACCACAAAGAGAGGAAAAGAGCCAGTAAATCCAGCAAACATAGCACAAGTTAGAAGTCAGACATTCTCTCCTCTCTCATCTCCCTCTCCTCGTGCCAAAATTGAACTCACCTGTAATCATTTGCTTTACCATTCTGACTGCTTAAAGACAAGTCTGCCATTGCTGTGTTCTCAGCTGACACTACATGCTTATTGCTTTGACCAAAATCAGAAGGGGCATTCTCAGCATATGGACCCTTTGGGTGATTTTCCAAATACTCAAGATGGGGAATAACACAAGCCTTCCAGACCCACATCATAAACTTTTACATTTTCTCCAGCCAAGGAGGCAAAGAAAATTTGCCATGAATATTCACTGAAGTCTGTTTTGTAAAAAGATGCTTTGTTGTGTGTTTTCCTGAGAACAGTTATCACATGTATTGCCTTCTATATCATGTTTTAGGAACTTCTGACAATGGCTTAAAAATACAACACCTAGTATCTGCTTTCAGATTAATTCTAAAAAAATGCCTTGCATGCTCACCTTTCTCTTGTCTCAGTATACCAAAAATTAAAATATGCATGGCAGCAATCAAAAAGTAAAGCTGAACAAATTATTTATTTGTTGTTGTAATTATTTAATGAGCTTTTATGTGTGTTATTTCCCTTCAAAGTTTCCTTATGTTTATAGCTTTTCATATGTATCAAAGTATTTTCCTATGATTTGTGGCTGGATTAGAACATACATTTTGTAGATAATGTAAAATAGACATTTAGACATTTTCTTGGTATATAAATTTTAATTTTGAACATCCATAGACTTAGGTGTTATTTTGAAGTAGCGACATAAAAATTGTATTTTTCATTCTTCACTCTGTATTATTTTTGTTTAAAAAGTGTGCAATCAAAAGACAAATATGATGACTTCCTTTCAAATTCATTGGTTTCCTTTTTTTTTTACAAAAATAAACACTGCTAAAAAACTATTGTCTGGCCCTGTGTATGAAAATGCACATATTTTAATCAGTCACAACATTTAATCCTAAAAATGAGAGAGTGTTACTTGGTTTTTAAAAAAAATCTATCCATAATATTTAATATTAAAACAATCTTTCTGGATGTAAAAATCTTATACGACCATTTAACAGGTGTGCTTGTTAATGATCCAAGCCAGGTTCTTATTTAACAAGTCTCAAGTTGTCCATGTCAGAGGAAGTGTTTATTTGGGAAGTTTTACAAGCTAGTGAGACACCACCATTTATTTTGTTTTTTGGTTTTCATTAGTGATGATCTAGCCAAAGACTAATGGTATAAATTACATATGGTTTCATCTTTCCCATAGAACCAATACGGTCCTGCACATTATCCACAAATTCTTACAGAATGTATCAGAAAATATGTAGTAATAAATCTCCCTCTCAACACAGTCCATGAATCACCTGTTTTTCGTCTTTCAAGCGATATTGAAACACTATGGGCAAGATTTCATCATGGGATTCTGCTGTTCTTAAATCATTAACTTTTATAACCCATTTGCACCCAAAGTAAAAATTACACAAGAGGACAGTAATGAAAAGACTTGGTTGATAAGGTCTCACACAAGCTCTCTTTGACCTTCTTTTTATCTCATCCATTCTGCATTTTAATTCCAAAAGATTCATCATGACGTTCTTGGCAGAGGTCTTTCTTGGTTGTTAATGTAGAACCCTTTGAAAATCATTGCTACTGCTTCACTTACTGAATCCTAAATTTTATCAACAAAATTTAATGATTTTTCCTCAAAGTTGCTTTTGAGAATTCTCTTTAAAATCTGCTATATGTAAAAAAGATATTTACACTTTAATTCAATTTTAAGTGATCCACATGGTAGTACAGTTAAAAAACCCCATTGCATTAATGACCTAGTTGTTTAAAACTGCGTTATGTGACTGTGAAAATATCAAAATGATGAGACCAGAGACCATTTATACTTAAATTCTCTGATCTTAAAGGTGCTTCTTTTAAGCCTAAAAGGAGAGATGATGAATAAAGGAGTTAGCAGGGAGAGAAGTGACATGACATTGCTCCTAGGCATATCAGTCCAGCACACCTACAGATATCTTATTTTTTTATTTTAACAGACATTATAGTCTTATTTAATCATTTCATGAGGGAAAAATTATTCCCAAATGCCAAACATCTATTCATTTTTTATTTTTTTCCATGTACTTCTTCAAGATGATAAAGCACAGAAGATTGAGATAATGGACCAAACTTAACCAGAATTATTTTCAAAACCAATAGCCATGCCACATCAGTAAAATTGCCCTGCCCATTCTGTGCTTGACTCCCAGAAATAAGAAGGGTGAAAAAAACTGCACATCTTGCTCATAACTCTTCTACGGTCACTGAAATCCAACTATATGAACAATATGCACATTTAATAAGAGTTTGTATTTAGAAATAGAGATAATAACTTCTAGTTTGTCTTTTCATGCAGAACTACCCAAAGGGGAAGAATCTGACACACTTCCACTACAATGACTTCATGAAATTTTGCTGGACATGCTATAGAAAGGCTATGGGGCCCATCTCTAAGTCTGGGGTTTTTTTAGGGAACATGAGGGAAGGCAGCAGGAGCTTTGTCCATCAGCAGCAACTTAACTTTGAAGTGCTGCCTGAGTTTGCTATGGTCTCTTCTTTGGACACCACTTTGGCCTTTTATGGGGAGATCTGCAGGAAAGCAGCATTAGAAAATTTCTGAAGGACTAATATTGTTCTTTGTGATGCATCTGCTAGCTCTGAATGCTTCAACATGGCCTGTACAATCTGCCTTCTGTTTCATCCTGTTACACGTAAACTCACAGGGGCCTGCCCAAGGATCCAGACAAAAGGCATTATACAAGTACATCTAACTAGTTTCTTTTCCGTATGGAGAATCTCCAACGTGTAAAGTTGCAGTAGGTAGGATATGGGCCATTGCTTTTGTGGACAGTGGAGAATCTCACAAAAGCTTCTCCAAGACTCAATGAACAAAATAGTACTGCTTAAATGAAATAATTTTAAATATGACACATCTTATGTTTGTTTCTGAGTTAAAAATTAAAGATAAACATGCTAAAATTTTCTCAGTTTTCACCTAAAATATTAAGCCAAATAGATACAAGAAGCATATAAATATTTTGACAAAGCACAATGTAGAGGCTGATTAGGTAAGTTTTTACATAAATTAGACCACTAAATAATCTAGTTTTATTACACTAAGAATACGTAGAAGTTGACTCTCTCAACAATGTCCCGTCATATGGGCAGATCACTAAGTCAAAGGGCTCCTTAAAATGCATTTCAAACATCTTAACAAGAACTTAATAATTTTATAAATTCTCATAATTGCTTCTTTAGAAAACTCAGTACATTAGAAATAATCTGTTGATCTGCCATCATTATTTCATTACTTTTGAGATGATGAAATCTGCCCCCAGCTAAGGGGTAAATTGTTTTGTAATGAGTGGAAATCAATTTTCCTTAGACATCATGGGAAACAGTCAGATGCTGGTTGTTTTGATTGCATGGCAGCACTCAGAGGCACACTTCGTAGGGGCAGTGGTAGATAGTATGTGCCATTAAGACATTTATTAACTGTGGAAGTCAGTAGGGCTTGACATTTGCAGCCTAGACTAGAAAGGCCCTTGAGAAGTTTATTTATTCAGTTTTTTAATAATAGTAACAAATCTGTTGCTCTCGCCTTTCCAGTAGCCTTGGAATCAAATCCACCCAAACCAAGCTCAGTCATTTGTTTGGAAATAAAGCAGACATTTGAACAACACCCTTCAAAATACCTAACAGATTTCTGCTAGTAAATCACTTTAGTCCTTCTAACCTTGACCTTTATATCCTTCCTGAAGAAGTACAGCATTAATCAAGAAAGGGCTGTTCAATACATTCCACTGTGAGAGTCTTGTTGCTACAGTATTAACCTGGAGGTGTTCAGTTGAAAATTATAAGGAATCCTTAGTGTTGGAAGGTATCCTATTCTCATGATGCATTTCCTTTCCCGTAGGCCAGGCAAGGGGCTTTGATTTTAAGTTCACTGACATACACATAAACATCGCTCCAGGCGAAACCTGAAAATTCTCTAGAGATTTATGAGTTAAGTAGACATTCTGTCACTGGATTTGCTAATGTTGCTTGAGCGTCGCCCCCACAACAAAAGGCCTGTCCATGCATCTTTCTGAAAGACATCCAGCCTTTCAGCTCACTCACTGTATGAGTTATGGGACTGACACCCGAGAAAAGTGTGATTTACAGGTGATATTGCCTACCACTGAGTTAATATTCAATCATCTACCTTCCTCAGTGCTTCCATGACAAGAAAATGCTCTTCATTTTTAGTCAATGCTTATTGAACTACATGGCATGAATATAAGTAATCTCTGCTAATTGCTGAGAAAAATGTCTATAAACACTGGACTGTAACTCCATTTTGGGAGTTTGTATTTTCTCAACTCACTTTGGTTTCACAAGGTGTGATAGTGAAAGAGGTAGTGTTACATTACCTAGTTGGAGTTTAGGCCTTCTTAATGTCTCTGTACAACCACAGAGGGTGTCTTAATAGAAATTAAAATCTGGATGAGTGCTTTAGTAGGGTTGTTTGTGAAATATGGTACTCCATGAATCTAATGGAAAATAAAAATTGAAAAAATTGAAAAAAATATAAGAATAAAATGCTCATAAGAAAAGAGGCCTAAATCAGAATTCCCTAGAAACAATAATATAGTTCTGTTTACTAAACCACAATGATAACTGCTGTCAAAGAGTGACCTTTGCTACTATTTACTTAAGTAAAAAATATTAAACCACCTCAACATGTTTTGTTGAACACTTTGTCTATTTCTTGTCCCCTGCTCTATTTTAGTAGTTGTACAACAGTGTATAATTGTCTCATTGTTTAAACAACTTAGCTGTTCTGAACTATACTTACTACAGCACACTTGCTTTTGATACATAAATATTTTAAAGCTCTTTTTAGAATGACTGGGTGTATCATTTTTTACTTTTCACTACTGAGAGGAAAAGTCATGTTCTGACTTGGCCTAGGAGTTCCACATTTGATTTGTTTTGTTATCCCCAGTGAGAAGTGACTTAGTGAGGAAATTGTAAAGGAACCTAGTAAAAGCATAAAGCAGTCTGTGAAGTCTGATGCTTTGGTGGGCTAAAGAAGAGCTAACCAGGCACATTCATTAAAATTCTTATATAAAACAGTGGAGAGTTGAGGCACAGGGCCTAAGGAAAAAAGTACTTGCCTAGCCCTACCACAAGAACAGCCACTGAGAAATGAAGGGGCTACGCAAAGCCTCAAAACACTCTGTAGCACAAAGACTTGGTTTGAATTGCAGCTGAAGCAAGTTTAAACATCTGTAGCTTGTTAGATTATTATTTTATTTATTTTCTTATTTATTTATTCATTTAGTTTGGGATGGGTTGAAGAAAGCTCTTTTAGATTCGCTAAGGCCATTAAGCTGGGATGAAGGTCTTGTTTCTAAAATGTAAAGCTTGAAAAATTTCGGTTTTAGCAAGGAACACTTGCTTTTGAGTTTTTGGGGGTTTTTTTTATTCACTGAAAAGGCCTGCTGAAATTTTTGCTTTCTGCATCTTTATTGCAATCTTTAGGATGTTAGCTAGAACAGCTTATAGCACCTGGGAACTGGTTGTATTGCTGCACTGCATTTTTTGTTTTCAGATATTGAAATGTCCCAATCTGGGTATGTGTAGAAAAGGAGAAAGAAGAGAAGATGGATCACAAAATGGAACAAAATGATGTGTGGAGGACAGCATGAGCTGTGTGTTCTTCATTTTCTTCTGATCCTCATGACTTTTCATGAGACTTCAAAAGACTTGTTCCATCCACGGATTGCCAAGCCAAACAGTAGCCCATGAACATGCTACCCTTGGGATCTAACAGACTGACAAGTCTAAATGCACATGATAGATAACCATTTCTGAC